TTGGCAAATTACCCATGAGTTAAAAAAAAGGAGTTTTTGTTAAAAGCAAGGTGAATTTAATAAGATGAAGTTACTACGGCAGCGAACTCGAGCTTTTTCATTCATTGAGAGGCAAAATTGTTTTTTTAATTTAACGCCTGTTTTTGTAGCGAATTTTATTTGATTTCCTTTTTTCTAAGCGTGAAAGTGTTGAGAATTGAGTTTTTCGCTTGTATTTCATTCCTAAAAATCAATTAATTTCGCTATGCTAGAGCAAAAACAAAATGAACAGAAACTGCTGTTTTTCTCCTCCTGCTTCAATCTTCATCAGTTCGCCTTGTTTAAAACTCAAGGCTGCATGGTAACGATAAATTTTTCGTTAACCAAAAAAAAAATTCAGTTGATTCGGTAAAAACATTCGGAAATGTTATCTTTAAAACAGTTATCGATATAAAATGCATTTCGTTTTTACCCAAAATGAAATGCAATCGTTAATGCTGAATCGTTAACAGATAATGTTAAATCGTTAACAGGTAATGTTAAATCACTGACAGGTAATGTTAAATCTCTAACAGGTAATGTTAAGTGTTAAAATTGAAGTGTGCTGCTAATGCCATAGCGAGCAGCCATTTTTAAATTAACGTTAACAATGAGTTTGTGCGGTTTCAACATTAAAAAAATAAAATCCTTTGGTTAAGTTCATTTTCTAAAATTAATTGACATCGTTTCGTTAGTTTGTCGTCTCTGGTCAAGGCAGTAAAAATGGTAAAAAAATAAATTTGAATTATTAAATACTTTATGCAAAAACATACACACACACACACACACACACACACACAAAAAGTACTTTAAGTACAAAACAAATTAGTAAAAATATTGTAATAAAACAGCGTATACACATACAAACAAACCTTCATATATATATGTACATACATTTGCCTACGCATAAAATATACAGAAATTTGCAGACAATAAAATTAATTGCAAAACTCAACAATAAACGAAAATAAAAGAAAATTATTGAGATGTTTTGGATCTAAAGAACAAAATTTGCTGTTTACGTGCAAAATTCAAAAAGCAATTACTTGTATTCAAAATTAAAAAAAAAAAAAAAACAAATATATAAAACAAAAATAAGTAAAACAAAAACAAAATAATGCACGTTCAACAAAACAAAAATTAAATTAATTATTAAACACGAGAATTGTAATATTGGTTACCTACACACATGCAAACAAATCTACAATACAATAAAATGATGAGAAACACACGCACACACACACACATGGCATCTGTCTTACGTTGAGTGTAATATGCAAATTATTGCTGATGATAATAAACAAATAAAATAAATTGTTTTCACCTTATGTCCATAAATTGTGTTTTTGTTTACCAAAAAAAAAACAAACAACCGCAACAGGTGAGTAGATTGTTAAATGCACACACATACATACATACATTTAAACAATTTTGATACAAAAACAACGAAAACAATCTTTGAATTCACCTTGGACGAAATTTCCATTTACATTGCGTCTCAACTGTGCTCCCCAAAGGACATTAGTGCGGGGTATCAATACATGACGCACATACAATGGGTGTTTCGGGGTCTAGTCGGGATAAGTGCGAAATATAATATAATAATAGTATTCCTCGGGTCTCTCGAGGAAGCTCGAGTTTTTCGTCCGCTATGGGTGGCGATTAGACTTCCAGCACGCCGTTAACGAGAAGTTCAAAAAGGCGTTAACTTACTCTTAGTCAATGGCCTTTAAGATCTGTCGCTAGGCCGTTCTGTTCTGCAGGTCTTGCTTCATGTAAATGACGCTGCGGAAGCATTCCATTAGATATTGCTTAGATGCTTCGCTGTGCAAATGATGTTCCAGCGACATAAGGAGACAGGAATGTCACGATCCTAAGGACAGTCGTCTCCGTCATCCAAATTGGAGTATCGTAATTTACGACCTGCCGGCCAATTGCCTTGTAGAATTTTGTTGCGACTCTGAACTTTTGTGGCAACTGCAGCCGTATGCCGAGTGAAGGTGTGCAGGTTGCCGAAAGATACTTCCAGTAACTTCCGGTTGTTAGTTGTCGGAATTTTTGCACTTTCGACTATTACATCGAGTTCGAATCGGTTGTACTACATCCAGTTGGCGAGAAGGGAGGCTGAATATATCGTTGGTTGTAGTTGCAGTTCTCGTGTCGAAATGGGATAGGTTGTCGACCACTACAGCTGGTCCTACGTTCGGGAGTTGAACTAGATTTTATCCGGCGACCTAATCCTGTTAAGGTCATCCGGTAAGTTTAAGTTTATCAGCGGAACAACACCCGCAACAGTTTTGCTTTTAATCCTCTTCATCAACGCTGGCGTCGGCCTCAAACCTTGGCCAACTCTGGTCTGCGAATCCGCAACACCGCGGATCTGCAACACCGTCGCCAACCAACACCAACGTGCGGCATTCTCCTCAGCGAGTTACACAACAGCAATACATAAGACCACCGCATAACTGCACCTGCGGATTAGGAGCTCTAGAATTTACTCGTGGTAGGCGACTTCTTATTTGATGTCTGATAAACACCCTTGACTTGCACTTAATGTTCTCTAAACAAATAATTTTCTATAAATTTGGATGTTGGGCGGACCAGATCACACTGCTGGTCACTCGGCTATTGCGGCCGCCGAGCATTACATTTTTACTTAACTTAATTAATTTAAAGAAAAAAATAAGTAAATAAAGACACATTTCTTTACATTTGTATTCAGTTCATTTGATCTTTATTAATCGTAGAATTCAGTAAATTTAATTACACTTTTTCATTTAAATTCTAAAGATATTCAATATAAGGATTTATTTTAATTTTAATTGTTTATGTTTACTCTTATTTTGTTTGTTTACTTTCAATTGTTAACATTACCATTATCAATATCCATAAGTTAATGCCTAGATTTTTCGATAAGAAAAAATAGTGAAAATTAACAAAGAAATATTAAATTTTCAACGCATTAAAGTTAACTGTAAACATAAATAACAAAATGTGTATGAAAAAAACGTAGCAATAAAAATATATTTAATTATAGCATATTATATTTTATTAAAAAAAAAACCGCTTAATGAGTGAAAATGGCTTGAGAAAAATATAAAAAAATGGTTTTACTTTAGATTATGCCCAGACGCATAATCCACATAGCTGGGGGTAATGAAACGCAAGTGAATAGACACAAATGATTGCACTTGACTTGATTTTAAAATTTCGTCAACTAATTAATTTTTCGTTTAATTTAATAAAGAGTATAATGTTTGAATTGAAATTATGCGGCCGTTTTAATTGAAAAAAAAAACTAAAATTCGGCGCTAATTATATATAATTAAATGTACAATTAAATAAAAATAATTTTTTGATTATACAATTTCGAAAACTTACATTACACAAATGATTGCAATTTTTTAATAAACTGAATTTCGTAAACTTGGTTCCCAACGCATTTTTTGTATATTTGTTTTAATAAAATATATTGCATAAACATAAACGCGTCATCTGTGTGGATTTTATTTTTTTCATTAGATTCTTCGTTTATTTGCGGTTTTTAATTGTTTTAATTTAAATTCTAAACACATGCAAATTGTGCATACAATTACATAATTAAATACATATACATAAATTTCTAATTTCTCGCAATACAATTAATTATTTACTGCATTTCAATTAATTATTGTGTATTTTATCATTTACATTTACATTTTGCGCATGAAGCCACATTTAGATGTTGATTGAAATTCATTTGAAGAGTAAGAGGATTTCGACACGATTTCAAATACAAGTAAAACTTCAAAAAAAACAAACTAAATTTTTTTGGTAAAATTCGAAAAATAAAGTAAAACGTATTCATTTAAATAATTTACTATTTATTTTAGTTTTAAATTTCAATTAAATTTACGCACAAATATTTGAGGTTATGAAGTATATTTTTTAGAAAAGAAAACTTAGTTTGGAATTGCACGTAGCACAAGGAAATTATTGTACTAAAATTTTTTCTTTCTGTTTTATTTGTTATTATTTTTGTCGCCAGAGTTTGTAGGAAAGCGAAAACAATTGTTAATATATATAATCGTAAATGTAGCTATCACTGCAATGCTTATTATTTTATATGATTTACGCTGTTTAACTGTACAAGTATGTAACTGCTTCGTAAAGCCTCCATGCAGAGTGCTCCGCTAAGCATGTATTGTTTTTGTTGTTGTTGGTTTTTTTTTTATTAGTTTAATTCTCTTAAACATTAAGCTCTAAATTTTCAAATGAATGTGTATGTGTATGTGTATGTGTATTTATCTATGTACGCATGCATGTTCGTGGCTCTTTCTTCCCAATTACTTTTGCGTTAATTTGTGTTCTCATCGCCTTATTCGTAGATTTAATCGTTATGCTATTATGTTATGGTTTTTTTTGTATATTTATTATAAATTTCTTTACATTACTTAAATTCTTGACACTCCTTTACAATACATTACTACTACGGCTGTTTTCAAATCTAAAGTCTAACGTTGCAGTTCTTCATCAATTATTTTTATTTTATTTATTTAATATTTTTTCTTTTCATACAAGCGCCTTCTTCAACACTCTTACAAAACATATTCATGTGGCTTTTTTTTTAGTTTTTTGTGTTCGTCTTTCTCTTTCTTTTTGTTTTTTGTTTTAAATACTTTCTTGCAACTCTCTAATTCATTTATTGTACATATATGTATGTGTGTATATATGATGAATACATATATAAATCTACTAATTTAATATTTCAAAATAATTTTGTTTGTATGCAAATATAATATTTACGCCTAAATGGCAAATAAATTATTAAATACATATACATATACATATAGTACATATGATTAAAGCTTAGCAGCCAATGCATTTTGTTTTATGAAACACAAAAAACTATATATGTATAATATATATGTATGTATGTACGTATGTTTTCATATTCACGTATGTATGTATATGCAAATTAATGTAATTATAATTTTACAAACAATATTATATATATATATATTTATATAGTGGCATTTCTTAACGCTATTCATTTAAATGTTTTTTGTGAAATGCTCTTCATACGCAGCGTTTTAGCTGTTTCGTATTGTAATGTTGCATGCTTACTTAATTATAGGTATTATGTTGGTATGTATTATGTATGTATGTGGGTATGCGTAATTATATAAAACAGCTGTTAAAGTGCAACAGTAGCACATTGCGGGCATTTGCAAAATACATACACACACATTTTTTTCATGTTGTTATTGTTGTTGTTTACAATTAATTATATATAGATATATAATATAGAGACTACTAGAGTTTAATGCTAATTTAATCTAAATTATCTTGGAAAATCAACTTAATATAACCAGATGAACCATCCAATGGTGTCGCACAGAAAGGACAAACCGCTTGAAACCCATTCGTGCCGTGTGGTATGTCAACATTGGCCCAGTACCTAAAAGTTAAAATATAAAAAAGAAAACACGGAAATAAATGGTTTGCTTTAAATCAGCAAACAAGAAATCCACAACATAAAAACAAATAACAAAGCGCAACAAAACATGATCAGACAATCGCAACTAATGAGTAATATTAAAAAAAAAAATTATTTGAATAATCCATAAGAAATATCGAGCTGTGTGAAATCATCTTAAAAAATATCGGAGCATTTATTTGGCCCTAAGTTAAGACTCACTTTAGATAGAGTAGCAATGATAAGAGTGCAATTGTTGTTGTTGTTATTATTGTTGTAGGGGCTATCGAACCCTCGAGGTCTAGGAAACGACGTGTACTGTGCTCGAGCTTTTACCTGAGTTAAAGTAAATGCTGTTATTGTTGTAACGGTTCTCCAGCACCGCTTCGGAACGGGTTAAATGAGTTTGATTTAGGGACATGCATAGAGAGGGTAAGTATCGTGCAAGTGGGGGCTCACATGTAGGACATACGTTAGGTATTTCTGATACTGGCGCAACTTAGGTTTGGATATCGGAGCATGTTAAACTTCTACTTATCCAGACTCGAGTTGCGCCAGTACTACGAAGGGACTCTCGAGGAGGGTGGAGCTCTTCATCTGCTATGGGTGGTGATTTCATTGCGTGAACGCCGTTCAGAGGGAGAAAATTTTTGAAGGACTCTAGGAAAATGACGTCAAACGCTTGTGTCTACGCCGTCCTGTTCAGCGGTTGTTGTATATGTTGGTGAAGGCCCTCTAAACGAATACTGTCTAATGGGCCTGGGAGGAGGTTCGGTGTAATGCTTTAAATATAGTGGCGGCTCTGCACTTTTGTGGCAATTACATTCGTATGCGGAGTAAAGTAGTGCAGACTGTAGAGTGTGACTTCCATTTAATTCGAGTTTTTAATTGTCGGAATTTCGACTTTCACATTCGAGCCGTTACTCCTTCGTCCAGCTGGTGAAAAGGGTGCCAGAGGACTCCGCTGGTAGTAGTAATGAAGATGTGGGGAGATAAAAGTTCACTTTCGAACAAAAATTATGAATATCCTGGCTAAACACCATTATCGAGCAAGTAGCAAAGACTGTGCTTCCTTCAGTACTCTTCAGTTTCGGAAAACATTGGATCGCGCAGACAATGGAAACAATTACTTGTGATAAACCAATTAGATTATCTATAAACATGGTCTTACCGCTCCCCGCATTATTATTTTTTTTTTTTTTTGGAAAATTTACAAATCTTACGGGTGAGCATTGTTTTTGTCGCACAAACGTTTTTTTTTTAATTTCTATTTTTATGTGTGGAGAATTAACTTTTGAATTTAAGCGTTGGAAGTTCAGATGATTAATTGATCAAAGATATTTATACTACTTTGGACTTCCTGTGAGGAATCTAGATAAATCTTGCGATCCAGATAATGTGAGTGAGATTTTTATTAGTTTGGGAAAACAGATATATGGACGGAAACAAAGGGACGCGAAAGTGATTGTTATTATATTCTTTTTTACATTTCGTGGAGTCAAAAGTGTAGGGTACAAAACTACTTTCACTTTTCCCCAGTTGCTACCAGCTGATAATCTTATTTTGTTTATGTATGTACTTTGATAACAATCAAGGTCCTCCAAGTCCAACTGGCACTCCTTATCCAGCTGAGGTTTAAGTTCGTACAATAAAAGGAAAAGGTATGCGTCGAGATAGCCGTACACCTTAGAAGAATCATCTGCGTGATCAAACACATTCCCATAGGATAAGTAGAGAAATTCAAAATACATATAAAAGAAGTTTAATGAGTGTATTCTCTATGAAACTTTAAATTTCCTGAACATGGATTTTTAAGTCCGAAGCTGTAGCGAATATTTCTTATGTATCTCTCACATAAAGGCATAAATGCACCTAATGGACTATAAAAAGCATTTGTTGCCCAATGCTTAACTGGCAATTAACTTTAGCTGTACTTTGCTAAACATACAAAAATATTTTTTTTATTTGACTATCTTAGTGCTATGCTGCTATCGTAAAATGCTTTTGCGCAAAGCTAATGGTAAAACTGATGGTCTAAGCGATGAGCAATAATATCCCGAAATCACGTATGCGTATTTCTTATTGAACTTACTTGACTGTCTTCTCAGTCGCCATGTGACCACACGGATTAAAAGCGAATGTAGGTGCACCGACATCAACATAAAAGGCCGGTTCCAAGCCCATACAAAGTGTAACAACCGGACCAACTTCGAGGCACATGGGACAACGACGGGCGCCAGTACTCTTATCCTGACCCCAATCGTGATGACCTACAAATAGATAGTAGAATGAGTGTAAGAAATGCATAAATAAGCTACGTTCGGTTCACAGACCTTGAACATGACCACAATTTAAGTACACATAAGGCTGATTCACTTGATCACCAATATTCACTTTCCTCGGTATAACTAGGGTATTCAAACCGACCGGACATTGTGGACGGCCAGCATTGATTTCATCAATTAATTTTTCCAAATCGCGTTTGGTCTGGAATTTCAATGTAGAGTCATAAGTAGGAAAAATTGGAAATTATATATGAATCAGAAACAAACCGGTGAATGCTGTAGACCATCGGCTGAGCGCCAGAGCAACGTTGCACCACATAAATCAATTAGTGTGCCATCTTGTAGCACATTGGACTCGTCGTAAATCTATAACGTAGTGAAATTAGTCAATGCATTTGAAATACTAAGATGTAAAATAATTGTATTTACCGGCTGTCCCTTTTGTTGTGCCGATCTCGATTCACGCAGACTAAACACATCGCCACCAACCGAACATTCACGCCAGAGACCGCACTTAGCATTACCGCCACAAAACTGACCCTTTGGATGCATGATGAGGACACCATTGGTGGTGAGCCCATCGATTTCGACATTATCCTGCCATTTGGTGGCTTTCTCCTACAAGGGTAACAGATTAATTAAAGATGTTGAAAATTAAATTTCCGTTAAACTTACGCCCAGAAAAATATTTCTACTCGAATCAAAGCCCGCAGCAAATATTCGCGCCTTGGATGCCTCACATCGATTCACCAATATTCGACATGCGAAACGTGATATTGTACTTTGCATGACTTTAGCATCTTTTTTATCACCTGGCAATGTGTCCATAACCACGAAATCAATGGGGGACTCTGACGAACGGCCAACCTGAAAGTAATAAGGAATAAAGAAATTGTAAGTTTTAATCTAAAAAAAAAAAATAAAAATAATTAAATTGAAGTTGGAGAACTAATTAATATTTTCTACGTTTAGCGTGCTAATGTTCATACATTTAAAGCTATCTTCGCTTAATATTTTAAATATTCTTTTAAAAAGTCTTTCAAATCCAAGAATATCTTGTGAGATCAGATGGTATTTCTGAGCGGCGTCTTCCCTATATGCGAATAATGAGTAATTAATTATGTTTTTCACAAAAGCAAATGTAATTTTTTGCATCCAACCTACGAAAGAACATCAAGTTGGTCATCAAATTAATGGAAAATATATAAATATATATATATATATGCTGAAGCGATTTTCGACCGAGCTCCTCCTCCGATTTGTGGTTTTGCGTATTGATGTTTTCCCAACCAAAGGCGGGACCTACAGTTTATACTAAGCCGCCTCCGAACGGCTGATGGTTTTTTTACTAAGAGCCTTTATTTCATGTCCGAAATTCACTCCAGGGGGCTGAGTCGAGAGGCGACCGTTATTTGAAAATTTAGCTTAATTTTTATTTAAATTAATGTTGTATAACATTTGGATGTTGGTCGCACGCGGATTTGAATACGAGCCTTCCGAATGGCAGTAGGCAATGCTGATCACTGGGCTACCGCGGCCGTTGGAGAATAGTCATTGAAATTTCTGACGCAAAATGAAGTGCCGTCAGCCACTAAAACCGTGCTTAAAAAATACTAATTAAATAAAAACCATATTTTTTTTATTTCAAAAAGTAAGATGGAAACCGGAAAATACCCCACGAAAAAGCAGGAACAAAAAAAATTTTTTATCAAAAAAGTGAGGTTACGTTCAAAATTTCATTATTTGAATTTTTGAGCGTTGGTAAATTATTTTTTCTGGTTAATTGTTTTTAAAGGTGTGCTTCTAAAATTGTTTTTGTTTTCGTTGAAACGAATAAGCCGAGTATTTTGCTAATTCATGAGTGAAATAATATCGAATCGAATCGAATTTTGTTCAAAAAAACTCGGTTCTTAATTTTTTTCAATGCGGCGGTTTTGAAAAATTACGGTTTTGAAAAATTACGATACTCCCTATAGAATTTGGAGTATCGTAATTCTTCAAAAACGATGTGCCGTATTGAAAAAAATTTAAAACCGAGTTTTTTTTTAACAAAATTTAATGAGGAATTCAAAAAAAAATTTAATTTTCAAATAACGAAAATGTTGAGCGTGACCTCTCTCTTTTCGTAGAATCTTGTGAGCCGAGAAAGCTCGTAATTTTTTCCCTTGAAGCTCCTATTCTTACCTAGTTTAGATCAATCGCTGTGCAAAGTTCGGAAAAAACCGATTTTTTTGATGTTGATAAAATTTATTTATTTTTTTTCGAAAACGATAATGCAATAAATAAAGACCTTAAACTTGTAGTACCGAAGAATTGGATTAGTACGAGCAAATATGGAGAGTAAGACAAGTAAAAATAAGCAAGTTGCTTGTTCTTTTCAAGGTTGAGTGCAAAATAGTATAGTAAATGTATGTATGTAAATATGAAGTCTCTCTCGGGACATATAAACTTTTCGATATTATTTGATATGAAAAAATTAAATGTATGCAAATATAGGTATTATAAAGGCATGTACATATATGAGTACATTTGGATAATATTAAATTTATAGATATATTTTGCATGTACATATGTATGTAAATCACTGACGCGTGTTCTGGATGATTTACATGTACTTTTTGCACGATTAGACACATAGATAATTTGTAACTGTGTACTTTTGTATATATGTATGTATACTCGTGCATATAAAAAAATATTAAACACAGCAAATATTCTATATATTCTATATACGTACATATGTAAATACGCATGTGGAACAGTTAACACAGAGTGGGCGCAGACATCAGGCAGATAGCAACATGGATGGGCTGCTAATCTAATGAAATCGATATATTTGCGCAGAAAACGCAGCAAATTCAAAGTTCTCATTATTGACAAAATTGGTAACAGCAGAGAAGGACATTTGCCAGCATTTTGTAAAATGATTTCATTGTCGTCATGGATATGCGAGTATATATGTACATATATATACACTTTTACATGTGAGAAAGCGTTTTTATGTTCGCGGTGGAAAAGAACAATTCAAATCCTTTTTACTTTTCAATATATTCATCTGCAACGCGGATACATTCTTCCGATCGTTCTATTAATTTATGTTTACCCTCATAAACAATTTTTTATCTTTATATCCAAAACACGCCGAACTGCGACTTCATCATCGAAGACAAATTAGTATCCTTAAATTTTTTTTTTTTTTTTTTTTTTTTTTTTTTTTTTTTTTTTTTTTTTNAAAAAAAAAAAAAAAAAAAAAAAAAAAAAAAAAAAAAAAAAAAATAGAGACCCTACAACTTATACGGAGCCGCCTCCGAACGACTAATGATTTTTTTATCAGGAGCTTTTGTCATGTCCGAAATACACTCGGAGGGGTGTACATCTCCTGCCAAGTGGCGACCGCAACTAGAACATTTAACTTATAATTTTATTCAAATTAATTTTCCAAACCTTTTGGATGTTGGTGGCACCGGGATATGGACCCGAGCCTTTCGAATGTAAGTAAAGCATTGGTTACCGGCGTTGTATTTACTGGCTTCTTTTAGTCGCTCTTACTTTAAATCATAGTATTCTTCAGTTATAGAAACACATTCATCTTCATAATCGATCAGTAATATACCTTCCAGCTGTCTGTGACGCCTTAAATTTCTTGGCTGGTGCTGTGTTCCTTTAATGCCACTGTTGACTGGTGCGGAGTCTTGTTTCGACTCAGGTTTTCAATGATGAACCCTAGAATAGTGTTCAGTAACAATTCGACTCAACGTCGCCCTCCTCTTCATCAGAGATCCAAAAGTAGACGTGTACACTCTACGGGCTGCTATCTTTGCGGAGGCGTAACGAATATATTTTGCGCTGCATCGATACGGTCCTAATAAGCCCAATCAACCTACTACAGCACTTCCATTCCGCGAACATAAAATCGGTTCCCAGTATGTTGCTAAGTTGGTATGATGCTGGAAGTTTTTTATTAACGCTGAATGCTCTAATTTGATGTACTACTGTAAGACCTTAACATGCCTGCCATCACATTTCATCGTTACGCTCAAACCATCCGGGAACCTATAGATAACGAATTGACCTGCCAGCGAGCATAGATCATTCTATATCCTCCCGTAGTTACTCATTAGAGCTCTTCCAACAGCTGGTACTTCCGCAGCATGAAGCATGCAAGCTGAGTTGGTATACGTAAAGAAAGGAGGATACTAAGATCTTCGGTGTCATCTTATAAGAAACCTTTTAGAGGAAACCTCATTCACGGCTAGGAGGTGCCCAAGTTTAATGCTGGAACTGTGATTTCAATTTCATTTTATTGACAAAAGTCACTGCTAAATTTCATTTAGTTGCGCGTACGGAATTAGTAGATAAATATACTTGTACGTATGTATAGAACCGCTATTTAGACAAGTTTTAATTTTAAATAAAACAACGAGACATTGAACTTCAATAATAACCCTCTAGATATAAAGATAAACTTTGCTTTTGTATTATGAGAGGTGTAAATTGTGTTCTTTATGAACAACGAAGATAAAGCGTAAAATAAAGCAAGCAAATTAAACAAAACCAGTTAACAAAAGGGAAACAATAATTGACAAAAGTAAAAAAAAAAAACAAAAACAATTTCTGTTACTTTGTTGTGAAAAAAAGTTGAGAACATATATATAAAAGAATAGCCTATAATGTAGCTGTGTGTGTAATTTTTTATTCTATTATTAACGGTAAACATAATAAAGTGCACACTTAAAGCTAATTGAATGCATAATAAAATGAAGAGAGAAATAAATTATATTAAATACAATAACAAAACATACATATGGAGCGTCAGCAGTATTTACATACATAGCTAAAATGGATGTGTATTACTGTATTCTAGTAAAAGCGACTGAAGATGAATTTGATTACTGTTAAGAAATTTAAAAAAAAAATAATAATATTGTAATAATAAAAATCATTAATGATTGCAAAATGAGTTTGTTTTAATGAATTATATTTTAATTTTCTTTTAAGTTAAGAGCGAGTGTTCGCTTGGGCCACAGGTCGCACGAATGTAGAAGTTCATGGAAAAACGGACGAGCTAGTTGGCTCCTATCTCGTGGGACTATCACCATAGACCGTGCGCTATCATCACAGCGCCTTGAAATGTTGTCTAAATCAGTAGTTCATGTACGAGGTGTGTTCAAAAAATATCGCGAATTTTATGTTTTTTCAAAAATTATTTATTTATTCATGAATGCCTATTTTGTCCTCTTCAAAGTAATCCCCATGAGATATTATATACTTGTGCCAACGGTTTTTCCAATCTTCGAAGTACTTCAAAAAATCGTTTTTTTATCTTGTTTAGCTTCTCCTTCGATGCCGTCTTTATCTCGTCAATCGTAGCATAACGTCGTACTTTCATGGGCCTCTTCAGTATAAGCAACAAGAAAAATTTACAGGGGGCCAGATCTGGGGAATACGGCAAAATATTCCTTATTGACCGTTCTACCCTGTCGCAAGAACTCATGATGCACCACGCAAGAAGAAAACTGTCTGTTGTTGAAGTGCTCAGGCGTCCGTCACGCTCGTTTATATCTTCTCGGCCTTGTGAGAACATTTTGAACCACCTATAAACGTTGCTTCGGTCCAAGGTAGCTTCTTCGTATGCCACAGTCAACATTCGGAATGCATCCGCACACTTAATTTCGGTTTTCACACAAAATTGGATACAGGTTCTTTGAGCCATTTTTTTGAATAGGTAAAAATCGAAGACCATCCGAAACACGTGCAAGCAAAGCAGCTGTCAACAATTAAGTAAACATTCAAAATGGCCGAGCTTGTCGGCATAAGTGACAGACATGAGTACCAACATGGCGCCACAAAAAAATCGAAATTCGATTATACGTAACCCTCGAAAATTCTAATTCACGATACTTTTTGAACACACCTCGTATGAACGCTTAGGACCCTCGAACACTTTCACTATATTTATGTAGCACAGTGGCAGATTGTAGACAGACCAAATTATTACTTACATTCACGTACATTAAGTAAAAAGGAATTAATTACTCTTGTAGGTGTATTGACAGGGCATTAAATGACGGTATTTGGCATCGCTAATGTTGCAATCTGGCAACTGACAACTTTATTATAAATTTTGACATTTTTGATATTACACGAGCGTTATTTGTGTTGTTTACAGTAACTTAAAATAACCATCCCGATCTAAAAATGGTGTTAAATCTCCAACATTAACGCGGATTAACGCAGCAACAGCGCATTGATGAACTTAATTCGATTTTTGGTGAAGCAGCTTTTTCCAGTGTTTATCGAATCTTATGAAGGTCTTCCAAAATTAGTTGTTGTTTCTGTAACTATTGATGAAGTGCACAAAGTGATATGGCAAGATCGTCATGTGACTTATCATAAGATTCAGACAGCTATAGGCGTTAATGACACCAATATGCACTCAATACTACATGAGCTTTTGACACCGGATCGTGAATTTGCGAGCTGAAGATGAGCCGAATACAAGGAATGTCGTTCGTGCATGAAGCATTTCTCAGCAAATGTTTGCCGGCTTTTGTATCAATAAAACAACGGAGAACAGTAAATTCTGAAGAGGACATAAGTCCTCAATCAGATTGGCAGAAGTGTTTCGACACTTGGTTTAAACGCATGCAGAATTATATAGATCTTAATGGAGGATACTTTGAGAAGCAAAAAAGCGATTTCGATGATATTTATTCCTTATTTTTCTCTAATCCCGAAATATAAAGCAACCCCGATATGGTGGTCGGATCCGACAAATGTAAATGTTACAGTGAATCTGCGTACCACGTTTGTTTGATATATTTCAGGAATTGAGGGACTAGTTCACGTGCAAACAGACATGCCAACACCTCATTCTGTTATGATCGGTACAAATTTTGATTTGTCCATCGCTTCGATTTCTGATGCTTAACACTTCGGACCAAAGTTAATATACAATTCCATATACAGAAAGGCATAAAAAAGGAAATTTTATATTTCTTTTCTTCTGCCTCAGCATTTTACATATTAAAAAAAATTCGACTAATCTAATTGATTAATAAATTAATTAATCACTATTTGAATGATGTAATCAAATCAATTATTAAACGATTAAATGTTTTGAGTGTTTTGAACTATAAATATTTATTCCACTCACCTGAAACATATCCGTTTCCGTGTCCTCCTTATATTCAACAATGACAGCTTGATTACGTGATAATGTATAAGATATTGAATGTTGATTGGCATCTAAGATAGCTTTCGATGTCTGTGGCGATTGGACGATATAGTGTTTGGAACGTTTAACACCGTTCGGTTCTGTACGTTTGTATAGAACGAATTTTGAACGCCTACGACCGCGATCACCTTGTGGTAAATAGCCATTATAACTGTAAATAAACAAAGAAAGAATTGTAGGTACATAACGGTAAAATATAATTGTAGTTCATGTTGTCTCAATAAATAAATGACTATACATACATACATATGTACATACATCATATGTATGTAGCATAAGTGCATCGGACTACGGGTTTAAGGTGAGTGTTCTTCAACTTGTTGAGTAATGAAACAACACCTTAGAGATTATGAATACAAAAGTAGAATAAAATAAACTTGACAAGTAAATACCACTTCTAGGAAGTACAATTACAATAATGCACTTTGGTTGAAGCATTAAGCAAGGCGATTCTAAGGCGAAACCACTTAAGCTTATCACTCCGAACAAATAAACTGCGCATCACATGGGGTTTACACACAGTAATCACATATTTCCTCGAGCTGAGCGGAGCTGGGTTGGTTGGTACTTCCCATTTACTTTGGTGGGTATTTTCCAACTTGAAAAATTTCAACTAATAACCACGACTTTTGGTTGCGAGTGACTGTTAGAGGAATGTTTAGACAGTTGCTCAAACATAAAAGTTGTAACGAATCGGCGATGTTTGTGTATTTTAAGAACGAACTCACACCTTAGATTCAAAAAAAGAATTGGTTATTTGTACAGTATATATAGTATACATGTGGTGTGTTACTAAGATATTGCACTGAGCCAGAGAACCCGAGTCTAGTGAACGGCTGAGCCGATTACGACTCTGCTGAAAGTTTTTGCTTTTCTGTTACTTCTGTGGGGGGAGATTTGCAAAAAATTAAATAAAACCTTCTTGTTGACAAAAAGTCAAAAGGTGTAAGACCTCATGACTTTCCAATATCGTAGAACTTTATGTGCATAACTGCTAGCGGCTAGACGTGTTCGGTGCGTAAATATGTATCCCAGTATCTTGAAAAGTAAAACGTAATCATATTCATATTTATTTTCTTCACGAAACGCAAAGATGGAGAGCGAGAATAACTGAAATATTACAATAAACATACATAGGACGTAGGAGAAATCAAGTGGTCCCTCAAATGGTGCCTTTATATCACGTTGAATTAACACAATGGAACAATTGTTTTCGATGTAAAGTGTCACTATTTCAGCGCGTTGTTTCGGTGTGAAGCGATCCATGGCAAAAATTGTAATGAATTGACCTTTCCAAAACAGATCTGATGCAATCGCTCGGTTGGTAAATGTGAAAGTTATTCAGGAGCACTCTGAACAATAAAATACATTGTCGTTCTGACTGATGGATCAACCCACAGCTCAAACCATTGCTCATAGACCTGAAACTTGAGAGATCTGTTGCGCGTATGAAGTAGGCATCGGGACTGGGATTATTCGCAGAAATTTCATTTCTGGCTCGATTTTGTCCAATATATGGAATATGTAGGTAACTCTTAGATTAATATGTGAAATACTGTACTATACGCTACCAATCTATTAAATTTCAAGTGAATCGAACCATAGATAAGATGTTCTCATATAAATCGGCCCCTGGGTCACTGCCCGACATAAAGTGACATTCATAAAAACTTTCTCCGTTAAATAGATGTCGGTTCAGACGTTCCATATTCAGGAAAAGTTATAAATTTTTTTAACAATTTGTATATACTTGTACCCAGGAACCAGGCCTCCCATTAAGTGAGATCACATATATATTAAAAATAAACCAAATGCTTCGTTGGGAGAATTAATTTTTCTCTTGATTGGATGTAATACTCCTAGATGCTGTATAATTCATTGAAATTAATGGGCACACCTAGTGTGACATTTCGAAAAAAATCATATTTCGGTAGATTATACCTTTAAAAATAACATATTAAAATATCTTAAACAGTTTTTGAGTTATAGTAATTTAAAGAGCAGCCGCTCGGCAGCTAGAGAGTCTCATTAGCTACGAGTGAAAACGATCATTTTATCTTTAAACGCGTTTTTCTCGAAAACGGAATTTTCCGAATTTGCTGCAGTGATTACTCAAAAAAAAAATGATCCGATCACTATCGAATTTTTTTTAAATGTTCTATATATAGTTCTCCGTACAATGACCTATCGATTTTTAATCTGCTCAAAAAATCGAATTTTGGCAGGCCAAAAACGACCGAAATTTTGGGTAAAATTCGCATATTTTTTTAAAACGCCGCCATATTGTCCATTTTTGATTTTTTTTATGGTAGATCATTGTACAGACAATACATACATACAGAGACATTTTTTTTTTAGATTTCATCCACGGGGAAGGCCGGAATCCCTGCAGCAGTGAAGGGCCTTTTTTTCGCGGCGTTGGAGATCGAGTATAACTTAAAAAACATTTAATTCTTTTCTTAAAAAATTTCACTGTATATTCTTGAAACATGTATAAATATATTCTTAAAATTTTGAAATAATTGATTAAGTGTTTTTTTTAATAAATTCCCAAAAATCACCTTTTTTGAGGCTATTACACTAGGTGTGCCCCTTAAAATTGTGAAATGCACGTAAGCGCAACTTGAGTCAAAGTAGCATGTTATCTTCGGGTTATGGAACGGTCCCAGTAAATCTGAGATGGTAGGACCAGATGCAAAATATTATCGACTACATCGAATACATTTGGGCCATGCATGGCTTGGAAATGGCCATAACGACCGATGGGAATGACAAGGAGATTTTGCAACGTGACAAAGTTCGGCCCCATGTGGCTTTGAAGGTGAGAAACTATATGGAAGCGCTGGGATGGGAGGCCTTACCCCACCCTCCGTATACTCCATACTTTGTTTTTTCCAACTCCTAATTTTTTTAGAGATGGTGTGTGAAAATTACCATAGAAATGGGAAGTCGCTACCGTCGGACAACATTTTGAATGATGTATTTTCTACTTTTTTCAATAATAAACACTTTTAATTTTTAAACCCAATACATTTTTTTTAGATTTTAGGAACGAAAATAGTTTTTTCAACCAATTCTTTGCCATACACCAAAGGGAGCTTCCTGAACTCAATCAAAATCTTAATATAGGTACTCATGTATACATACATACTCATGTACTTGCTTATACATATTTACGAATTTTGTCGCATTTTATAAATAAATCGGGATGATGATTTGTAGCAGCATTAATTCGCTTAAATTATGTGCAACGTCGGCGGCCGATGAAATGCGTTCAACAAACCCAGCGCTGCCGGTACATTAAAGCACAGACTGCATACATACATATGTACATACAATATTTCGTTCCAAGTAAATCGTACGTAAATACACAAAACAACAATACAATTCCGCGCTCCACCCGCTGTCACCCTCCAAGCTCGCACGCAACATGTTTACGAGTTCTGCGGACTCACGTATCTACGTACGTACGTGGCTGTGCCCCTGTTGCTGTTCGTTCCCTGGTCTATTTTTCAGAGTTTATGGCACAAGTTTTGGTGTTAACGAACTTTGTGTTCGTCAAAAATAGATAAACGATTACAGATTGTGTTTTTGTTGTTGGGTAGTTTTTCTGTTGTGACGCGTTCACCGGCGACTGAGGTTCCTGTTGCTGATGCTGAGGCTGCTACTTCTACTGCAGTTGTTGTTGTTTGTTGGCCGATACTGTTGCTCTATATCGTTACTACTTTGGCACTTTCAGTTCGTGGCTAGAGAAGTTGTTGCCTCAGCAAAAGCGAACGTGAGGTACTATTGTAGTATACTTACTTACATACACCATACATAAATACATATGTACATGTACTCGTATGAAGACGCAGACCAATTGCCGTGGCGGACATGATGCTGTTGTGTGGCGGCGTTGCTTCATTGTCAGCATTTATTTGATGCTATCCATTCTATGAATCTTTCGAATGCACGCACACATACATACGCACTTACATGCCTGTGTTTTCAGCTTGTTTAGAAATTGTGGGCATTTTATACATACATACATACATCCATATATATCTTATGGATTTCCGTTCAACGCTGAAGAGCTAAGTTTATAAGCATATGACGAGTCCAAAAATAGTGCGACTTCGTCGAATTGTGACACCCAAATCTATGTATGTACAATATATACATACATACATATGTAAGGGTGTATAGAATTACATTTATTGGCTTATGGAAATTTCTACAATATTTGGCTTTTTTATTTTTGTAATATGTGCTTTCGCCTGTGAAAATACATACATATTTATGCATGTATGTATGTATGTATTGTATTGTATTTTCCAAGCTTTCATTTTACATCGTAAAACAAATTGGATTGCTTAACAGGAAAGGAGTTTTCGAGTTTATTTTTATGATATTGTTCAAAGCAACTCAATCGGCTGGAAAATTTATTTATATATTTATATATTTTTTAATATTTCTAATAAATTTAAAATTTAAAGTGGTTATTTTAATCATATTTTAAAACTGAAAATCTTTTTTAAATTTAAAAATAAGCTTTTGCAATTATTTTACAATTCCAGCATAACCGTGAACCGGGATTCGCAACAATTTCGGGTATCACGCACTCAACGCACATTAAGCATTAATTATTTTTACCGAGTGGCACCCCTAACTGCAAATGCTTCTTTATTGAGCATAGTCAAAACTGCGTTTCGATGTTTCAGACAAGGTGCCTCCTTATCGTGTGGCTTCTTTCATCTATTGCTGGAGAAAATAATAACGAGCTGCGGAGCTGAACATAGAGGCGACGACCTTCTATAAGACTGTACAATTTGTAGCGTATGCCGATGACACTGACAGCATTGGCCACAATAATCGCGCTTTGAGTTCTGTTTTCTCTGGAGTGGATAAGGAGGGGGAAAATTGACTTTGAAATTTTTAGATAATTTAAACCATTTAGCCTGGAAATTCAACTCTACTACAAAACACCGACAGATTGATAAAAATTAATATGATTGGGAATAAGTATAAATCGTGCATAAGAGCTTCGCCTCGCATTTTTATTATTCTGCGGCTGCGTGTTACAAGCTATTCTTACACGTCCAACTTAAGCGTCCATAAGCACAGATCCGAATGGGGCATTCACATTGACATTTTCATAAAAGGCTTTCA